GCAAAATGGAGTCTGGAGTCACATGGGCCAGTCTCTGCATACTTTGCTGAGTTACAAACCGTATTTGCCTTCTCTCAATGAGTCCATTGTATAGCTGATGGTCCTTAATGGGCCATCAAGCAGGCTAGGCAGAGCTAACACCAACTTGTCTGGGATGTCACCCAGAAGCATAGCATAAGTTTGCCATACAGACAGTACAGAGCCAATATTCATAACTTCAACTACAAAATTGATACACACATATAGACAGAATAATCATAACCAGCCAACCATAACCTTGTCTTAGACATCTCATTTGTCCCCCTTTATACACGATTTGGTGCCACTACAGGACTTTGGTTGCTTCTATATGGTCCCGGTTCAAATCAATAACGTGACACTGATCCACAAACATCTGCCATCCCCTTCCAGACAGGATCACAGCCCATTAATCTGGGGAGCTGCTGAGAGCGTGGGGCATGGACCTCCATGGCCAGCCTGTCGCCAGCTAGGGCTGGCGTTTAAAGAGGCAGCGTCTGCCTAGTGAAGCCCCCTGCCCTGCTCCTCAGCCCCTCTACCTTGAGCCCCTGCGAGAGATTGTCTCCCCCCGTCCCCAAACCATACCTGGTGCTCCTCTCGCAGGGCAGGGCTGATGGGTGGGTGCTGAGGTAGCTGGGAGTGGGGGGGGTGAGATGGCAGGGCTGTGGGTGGAGGCGTGGAAGGGGTTTGCCAGGAGTCAGTGAGGTGGGGGGGAGCCCAGTGCAGCGAGAAGCCAGGGGCACTGCGGGAAGTGGCCGGTGGATCAGGAATGTCCCAACCCGCTCCCCTGGTTTAATCTCTGTCTGCTCTAGTGTGCCTGGGCTGCGCGGCTCCATGGCCCCGTACCGCATCCGGCAGTACGAGGACGGTGACTACGAGGCCGTGTGCACCATGTTCGGCCATGGGGTTATGGAGCACGCTCCTGCTGCGTTCATCTACATGCTGAAGCGTCTCCGGGCCCAGCTGCACTTCCTGGGCCTGTTCCTGGCGGTGCTCGCGGCCTCCAGGTCCCTCCTGGTCTCCCTCCTGGCTCTCCTGCTCGCTCTCACCGGGGGCTGGTTTTGCAGCTGGTGTATCTGGACCGATTATGTCCAGCAGTCTCTTCGCAACGACCTACTGGACATCCGGAGAACTTACCTGGAGGCAGCAGACTCTTGTCTCTGGGTGGCAGGGGCTGAGGGGGCGGTGGTGGGTGCGGTGGGGGCTGTCCTGCCGGAGTTCCCCTCGGAAAGGGGGCACGCCCTGGAACTAAAGCGTATGTCCGTGGAGAGGTATTAGGGGGCTTATTCCTTCACCCTCTCACTTTCCTGGTCCTGCTTGCATGAACAGAGAGCAACAATACACGAAGTCCGAAGATGCAAACAATTAGATGTTTATAGGGATGAACTTCCAGCAAGCATGATTCCAGTTTCCTTCCTCAGCTCTGACACCGCAGAGCCTTGCCTGTATCCCTGTTCCCATCCCCTGTTCCCATTCCCCCCACCTTACTTCCTGATTGACTGCAGACTATATAGTAAAACTTGAGTTCTGTTTAGCTATACCTTAACCAATCATTTTCCTGAAATGTAACTAACCAATCCTAACATACTATAACATGGTTATTTAACCAATTATATCCCACCACCTTAATTGGTTTACACCCAACAAAATTAATTATACAGCAGACAGAAACAATCCCAGAACCAGCCAGAGATTATACAGACAAACAATAGGGAAGTGAAGACTACAGTGATAGAACAATACAGAAATGAGGATTTCGCATCCCAGCTATTGATAAGTGAGTTCTTGCCAGACAGGATGCTATTAAACTAAGTTTCCTTTTACATCTTCTAGGCTCTTCCCTTTCTCTGGAGGTGACGGGAATATCAGGACAGGATTGTATTCCTAACAGCCCAATAGCACCTTATTTCCATGTGACTGGTTTGGAATGTGAGGATGTGACCGTTCACTTCCCAGTTTATGGCCGGCCTCTGCTGCTTAGCCGAAGACCTTAGCCTAAGAACCAGGCCTCAGACTGTCCCTTACACAGACAGACAGTGATTTTGAGTCTTTCTTTAATACCTCTATAACTAGCTTAGTGATAAAAATACACCTAAATTCTTAAAGTGTAGGTCTTTGCAGACAGGCCTGAATATCTGTATCCTAACAGGAGGGAGCACCGGGGCCGGGGCATCACCAGGGCGCTCTGCAGGACGGTCATCCGCTTCGCCCAGGAACGTGGGTACAGTGCAGTCGTGCTGTCCACCTCCATGGTTCACTACTCGGCCCAGCAGCTGTACGAGAGCATGGGCTTCCGGAGGGTCTCGCAGAGGTCTCCATCGCTCCTCGCCAGCTTCCTGCAGTTCTCCGTCTTCTATTACCAATACGAGATTCCAGGGTCTCGCTGAAGGCTCAGGGGGGGCGATTCTTCCCCTGCCTGCTCAGCCGCTGGGAGCTTTGCCTGGCTTGTTAATTAACTCCCAGCAAGTTGCTACTTTTTTACCTTTGGGTTAAAAAATAAACTGAGCTTGGAGGAAAAGTCTCACGTGCGTGACACTGTTCTTGTGCTGGCTTGGGATTATTGTTCCCCCAGGGGCTCCTCCTTCCCCACAGCCACCTGGGTCCCCTGGATCTGAACTTCACCCCTGGAGCTGAGCCGGCCGGGATCAGACTCACCCACATTTGCTCAGTGGTTCCTAGATGGTCCCGGACCCCTAAAGAACCAGGCGACCCTGGCAAGGAGACCTCCGTGAAGGTTCATTTGAATTTTCACCCACTCTTCTTTGACAGGTTCATGTCTCATTCCTGTCACCCACAGAAATGTCCAATCCTTGGATCTTGCCAATTTCTTCACCCCCCACAACATCCAGTAGCAGTGAGTTCCACAGGCTGGCTATGTGTCGTGTGGAAAAGGCAATTCCTTTGCTAGGTTTACAATGTCCCACCTTTCGCTTTCGCTGGCTGTCCCCTTGTTGGTGTATCCTGAGACAAGGAGAACAGAAGCGCTGGATCTTCGTTCTGTAGCCCATTCGTTCTTTTATTCATGTTGAGCACATCACCTTAGAAAGGAGACGGATAAAAGAGAACAAGCCCAGGCTCGTTGATCTCTTCATGGGACAGTTTTTTCCAGGCCCTTGTTGGTCCCCATTGCCCTCCTCTGAACCCGCTAGTTCTGCAATGTCCTTTTGGAGATGGACCCTATCCAGATCGACCTCTCTTTGCTGGCCCGTGTGGGCCGGGCACGTGGCAGCCCTGGGTGCACATGCTCACTTGCTCTTGCTCCTCACAGCCCAGAGTCCTCGGCACCTCCCCGACAGCCCCGCTCGCTCACCCGTGTCCAGGCAGCGCGAGGTGTCTCGATTGCAGCAGCAGCCGTGGCAGGAGACGAGTGAGGGTACGAACGCCCCGCTTGGCCGGAGCACACAGCTCTGTCTGGGGGTTCGTGTCCTCAGCGCTAAGGGCACAGCTGGGCGGCTGGTTCCCAGGGCAGTCGACGGAGACGTGCTCGCTCTGATTTGAGCTGACGGGCTAAAAGTAGCCATGTGGCTGCAGTAGCTCAGGCTAGCCGGCTGGGCACGTACCCAGGGGAGGGCATCTGAGACTGGACGTGGGCGGCTAGCCGGAGCTACGGGTCTCCCAGAGCGGCATGACCCCAATGGCCTGGTGTGCCAGTGCCATGCAGCACCCCAGAGCCCCC